TACGCACCTGAGGTCCCCGCCAGCGGGCAGCGGCCGGCGGACCGTGGGGTCCGAGGGCTAGGCCACCGGGGAGCGGCCAAAGGCCGAGGGCGGCAGCTGGGACGGCGAAGAGACCGGGGCGCGGCGTGTGGGCGGCGGTCGAGGGCCTGCTCCCTACTATCCCTTCTTTTTCTCTTTCCCCCCCTTTTTTTTTGGCTTCCTGGAAGGCAGCCTCAACTCGTGTGTCCGCAGCGCCCCAAGTGGGAGCTGCCGTTTCCGGTGCTGCCGATTCCAGTTCAGCTGCGCTTTGAGTTTGTCTGGAGGCTCTCAGCTCTGTTGAGCTGAAGGCCGGACATGCTCGTCCATCCCCAGCCTTTGCCCGAGAGGCTGGCAGGTGCCTAGTCTCATCCCTAGGCACCGCCCCCAAAGGTGGACGTACTTTGGTGCTGTAATTTAATGTACTTTATGTAGCGTGAATGCAATGTGTAGCCTTAGAGGGGTGAGGTCACAACTCCGTTGACCTCTGAAGCTGCCTTAAAGGCACCCAGTTGTTTGTTACAAACTGTAGCAGCGCGTCCTGACCTTTCCGCTGGGTCAGTGACATAGCCCGTCAGTCATGAGCTGTCCATCAGGTGACGCTGGCACTTTAGCAAACAGTCAAATATTACAGTACTGTTATTTAACCCGATTAAGTTATAGTTACATACTTGTTTTAAATATGCCAAAAAGGAGAATAGGATAATAAACCATTTACCCATTGCTCAAATTTAAGATAATATTCCGTATTAATAGTCTTGGGCCTCTTTCCCACCGGCTCTCACTCCTCTGATGACCTCACCCAGCCTCGGGCTCTACCTCCCATTGAATGGTTACGACTCTCAGTATGTATCTCCAGCACCCCCTTCCCCTCAACTAATCCATGCAACCAGCTGCCTACTTTGAAATCTTCACTCGGAGGATGACCAGGCATCTCAAGGAGAGCAAGCCTCCCCCCCCCAGTTCCTCCTGCAGTCTCCCCTTTCCTAGGGAAACTCGGGACACAAACCTCAGCAGCACCCTTTGCTTCGCCCATAGGGCACATCAGTCCTTCAGACGACCCAGCCAGCTCAGACTCACTAAGATGCTACCTTCCTCTTTCTGACCCCCACACTGATCCAGGCCAACACAGTCTCTTGTAATGACTAGTTTGTCTCCCTGATTCTGCCCTTAACCCTCTTCAGGTTATTATTAACGCGCCATCCAGAATTCTGTACCTAGTAACTCATTTCCGGACTCTGCTCAAAGTTGTCCAGTAACTCCACCTCGGGGACAGTACAGGTCCTGAATTATGCTTTTGGCCAAGATGAAGTAACAAGGATTAGAGTTACCCTCTTGCCTGAAGCAACTAGAAAACAAGCAAAATACACAAGAAGGAAAAGTTATGAGTTTTTGGTATTAATTTGCCAATGTAAGTGGAATGAAAAAATTATGTGAAAGACACAAATTATCAAAGCTCACTCAAAAAATAGATAAGTAGCCCTATATCAAAGAAATTGAAATTTAGTTAAAAATCTTTCCACATAGAAAATTACAGGCCCAGATGGCTTCCCTGGTAATTTTTACCAAACATTTAAGGTAAAAAGAAATCTTCCCAAAAGTTTAAGGAAATACTTTCTAACTCTATGATGCCAGCATTGCTGTGATATCCAGATCAGACACAGACATTGCAAGAAAACTAAAGCACAGACCAATATCCCTCCTCATGAACAAAAATGTAAAAATTCTCAATAAACTTTTTATTTAAAAATTGTTAAAATAAATTTTTATGTGTATTTTACCACAAAATTTTAGAGGTGAAAATCCTCTCACTACGATGCAGGCATTCCACTTACAGGTATTTACCTAAGATAAATAAAATATGCCAATATAAAGACTCATACCTGAATGTTCACAGCAGCTTTATTCATTATATCTGATGCAGGAAACAAGCCAAATGTCAATCAGCAGGGGACTCAATAAGCAAATCATGGTATGTCCATATGATGGAGTGGTATTCAGCAATAAAAAGGAATGAACTCTGGGTACATGCAAAAACAGATTAACCTCCAAAATCATTTTAACTCAAAGAAGCCAGACATAACAGAGTCCGTATTTTATGGTTATATATACATGTAATAGGGCAAATTCTTTCATAATGGTGGAAAGCATATCAATTTTTTAGCACCAGGGTGGAGAAAGGCATTAACTACAAAAGGCATGAAGGTGCTTTGTGAGGGATAGAATTATGCTGTATCTCGATTATGGTGATGCTCACACAGGTGAGTGCATTACACATTTTTCAAAATTTCCCAAACTACTGTTTAAATGAATGCAGTTTATTATACATAAATTATACCCCCAAATTAAGAAAATCAACCCTTCAAATTTCTGTGTCATGAAATGTTAAAACTACTTTACAGTGAGCATATACAGGCACACTATTCTTGCTAAGTCATCTTACTACTGCCATTTTCCAACCACGACGATTTTTATTGAAAGCAAATGGTTTAACAAAATAAGACATTTAAAAATCATTGTTTATTTAATCTTTATCATTATTTAAATAATTACTTTGTATATTTTATAAGCTATTAGTATAACAATGTGTGTAAATAATTTGTATATATTTTTTCATGTTCACAAATTTTACCCATGTGTAATCAAAATAATTTGGAGGTTACTGCCCTAAAAAGTTGGAAGATCCTGTTGTCAGAAAACTGAAAAGAAGAATTTATAAGTAGAGGTTTGAAACCATTCAAGAAGATAACTGAGACCAATGGTAATATTAAAGTGTACCACATTTATGTGATATAAGAAGACTCAAGATTGTAAAGTGTCAATTTTCTCCTAGTTAATTCCTCTCAATTAGCTCATGAATTTAATGCAATTCCAATAAAACACCAGTGGGATTTTTTAATGCAACTTGACAAGATGATTTTAAAATTTATATGAAAGTAAATGTTATGAATAGCAGACAATGTTGTAAAAGAACAAAGAAGAGCAACTTGAGTGAATAAAAATCAGCATATTATAAAGCTGTGGCTGTTGAAACCTTGTCATATTGGTTTAAGAATAAATCAGTAGAAACAAATAGTTTCTGGAAACTGACCCATATATATGGAAATTTGTTAGGTGTTATAAATGGTATTTCAAACCTTCAGGTAAAGTCTGTTACAAGTCAAATTATTTTCAGACAATCAGATTATCTGTTTGAAAAAATATTGATAAATGTACAATCTGGTCTCATTCCACTCATAAAGATCAACTCCAAATCTAAATATAAAAATTAAAAGCATTATATAAAGTGTTTTACAACTATTATAGAAAACATATTTTGGATAATTGTCTTTCTAAAGACACAGAAAGCAAAATCTCTAGTGGGTAAAATAAAACTGACTACATCAAAATAAAATTGTAGGTCAAAAGACACTATAAATTAAAGACAATAACATTTCAATACATGAGGGTTTCTATGCAGAATATACATATACATTACTTCCATAAATTAATGAGACAACCCAATAGAAATGTGGCCAAGGATATGAAGACAGTTTTTTAACATGAACATTTTCTATGATCCAGCAGTCCTGTTTATCACTGTCTACCCAGGTGATTCCCTCACTCAGGTGCAAAAGGAAACTTGTACAAGTATTATTACTTGTAATGGCAAAAACCAGAAATTATCCAAATGTCCACCAAGAGAAGACTGGTTAGGTAGGATGTAGTTTATTCATACTAACATGCAAGAATGAAAAATAATGGGGTAGACCTAAAAAAACTGTTATAAAATTATCTCCAGTATAGTTTTGAGTGAAAAGATAAAGTTGCAGAATGAGATACATATTATTCCAATTTTCTTTAAACACACACACACAATAAAATAATACTTTTCTAGGGAACAGATATATGTGGGTCTGTAAGAGGCTGTTAGCCTTGCCTTATCCATATATAGTGCTTTATTAATTTTTTTACAAAGGCAAAAATCATACAATTAATTGTATAATTGAAAGTTAATAAAAATTAAAACATATAAGACTAAGTTCAGTCTTCCCCAAATTAGAGAATTTAAGCTACTCTAAATTAACAAAGAAAATAGAACATCCACAGGAAAATGTCATATGTGGTGGGAAAATTTAGCTTGGCTAACATTACAGACATTTTAATATATTCGGGTAGCTGATACTCTGCTGTGAGGCCATGTTTTCCAAGCAACAAATTGGACAAAAATGGAAGTACTGTGTGACAGCATACAGCCAGCATATAAAACCAACCAACCAGGTTTTGATAGTAGAGTATGAAAGTCCGGTTGTGACTGTAAGTCCAGGTCTTTATTGGAAGAAACCGGCTTTTAGGCTCAGTTATCCTGTTTCTTCCTTAACAGAAGACACAAATTTGATAGGCAAGCATCGCCACCCAGTGGCTATGGCTCACATTGCAGAGTTTGTCACTGCACCCCTTTGTCCCCCAAATCTCAAACCAAAGGTTGTGCATTTTGGATATCCTTTAAAAGTAAAATGTTTTAGGAATTCCAGAGACTCACAGAGGGTTATAAATTTTAAATTCTGACAATTTAAGATTTTGTAAAAGCCTACCTTCTACCAGCATTACCAGTTTGTAAAAGAACAGATATTTAAAAGCAAAAAATCAGAGAAGCCATAAACTTAGATAAGAGGATAGTCCTGCTTACGAAAAAAAACCCAGTTACAAATTGTATATGCATTTCATACATATGTAAGTATCTCATAACTGCATTAATAATTGAGATGGTTAATTTTATGTGTCTACTCAACTGGTCTACAGGATGGATGCCCAGGTAGATGGTTAAGCATTATTTCTCTGTGTTTCTGTGAAGGTGTTTCTGGAAGAGATTAACATTTGAATCCATGGACTGAGTCAAGAAAATTGTACTCCTCAATGTGTGTGGGCCTCATCCAACCCACTGAGGGCCTAAATAGAAGAAAAAGATGGAGGAAGGTTGAATTTTCTCTCTCTGCTGGACTGTTTGAGTTGGAACATCGCTCATCCCCTGCCCTTGAACTAGGACTTACTTTATTCTTGCTCCTTTATTCTCAGGCCTTAGTACTTGGACTGGAACTACACCCCCTGCTTTCCTGAGTCTCCAGCTTGCAGACAGCAGATAGTGGACTTCCTGTATCTCCTGTTGGTTCTGTTCTCTGGAGAATACTAAAACATATTAGGAGAATCCTTACATAATATTTACATAATTTTCCTATATCAGTGCATGTCTCAAGTTTATCAGTAAAAGCAGAGCTGGAAGACAGTCTTGTACACAGATACTTAATTTGGGAGGCATCAGATGTGAGAGCAGGGGGAGTTAATGAGTAACATGGTCCTTCCCATATAAAGGCAAACTGCCTTTCATCTTCTTTATCATTGGCATTGAAAACAACTCATTCACCAGATCAGTATCCCTAGGAAGTCCCAGAAGCTGTGTTGATCTGTTCCAGTAAAATGCTACTCCTGACACAGCAGCTATGACTGAGCTGTGCACCTAGCTAAGTTTATAGCAGTTTACAGTTACCTGCCCTAATCCATCTGGTTTTTGCAGGAGTCAAACAGGTGAGCTGCATGGGGTTATGATGGGAACTACCACTCCCGAATCCTTACATCTTTGAAGATGGTGCTCAGGTCCACAATTCTCCCTGGGGTGCAGTATGTTTTCTGATTTAATGCTGGCTGGGTCAAGCCAGGGTGAAGGACCCAATGTGAGCTGCTCAGTATGTCCATCCTAATGGAGTCTTTGGGAACCAGGGACATTTCTACATGGTAGGTGCATGGACGCATTTGACCCTCTGTGAGACACACTTGTGCCTGGCTCCACGAGCTCCCACTCCACCTGGGGACTCGTCGGTATTTCAGATTCTATTGTGTCAGTGCCCCTCAGACCCTGCATCCAGCTCTGGAAGATCTGGTTATTCTCATTATCCAGTGTGTGGTTAACTCTGGCAAATAACCACAGGTTCCTTTGGGAAATGATAAGGAGAATATTTACTGACTCTGCTTGGGGTGGCTCTGCAGGGTCCTTCCTTAAGTGGACCCAGCCTTCCTCACTCAGCTCCAACCACACTGACCTCCTGTGTGTGTGTGTGTGTTCCCAAACACACTCCAGGTGTGGCCTGCTAGCATTTAATAAGAGCCACACACCAGTGGCAGCTACCAGGAGCCCTTAGCCTTTGCTCTTTCCATCAACATTGGAGGCTTTGCTAATTAGCTTAATAAGTGCTAGAAATGGGTTTGGTGAAATTAGTGGCTTGTTAATTTGTGTATCAGCCGGGGTCCAATGAGGAGACAGAAACCACCCAGTGACTTGAACAGGGAATGTTTAATATAAAGACTTACTAAAGACAACAAGGGATTGGAGCAACAAGGGATTGGCCCGTAAGAAGTAAAGAGAACACTAAATAATAGACATAAGGAGCAGCCCTACCCCTAGGACTGAGATAGGGCACCCCAGAAAGAAGCCAGCCCTAAAGCTGAGACCCAGACCTGAGGCAGGTTGGTAAGAAACTAGGAAAATTCCCTGGCAAGTGGAATGAGGAAACTGAGACAAATGGTTGAACAAATGGCCAGGAAGGCTGAGCAATTAATCACCAGTTGATAAATCACAAGACTCTATCCCCCCTAACCAAGCACACCTAAGAGCAGGTGGTCTAAATCACCTTAGTCAGGAAGCTAGATAAAAAATTCAATTAGAGCCAGACTAATCCAAGATAGAGGTGAAACTAACCAGAGAATAACCCCAAACTCTATTATGTGCTCATTTTAATACATCAGTATACTAGACAACGCACCCAGAAAACTAATGAGTATTCTGTTGAGATCTTCCCTTGGGACCTTCCTTATAATTTCTGCCTATAGGAAATAGATAGAACCCTCAGGACAAAGGATGCCAGCTTGCACTCTTCCTGAGCAATCCTGCGTCCCCCTTCCCCCTTCTACCCTAAGCTCTAAGTGTCCCCATGACACCTGCACCCAGGGGAGCAATGGGCAGCAGCAGCTCGTCTGGGATTTACCCCCTGATCCTGTCTCCAGGGGCCCTTTCTTTACCTCACTGTCTCAAGCTTTAATAGACTTATTCTCAGTTTCCCTTAGACTTGTGTCTTGAAATTTTTCCTGCAGGAGTCAAGAACCTGGAGGTCGCTTGACATGCGAAAGGTCCCGGACTGTGCTGTGGCAGGACCAGCCCAATTCTTGGTGTGGAAGTGGTCAGGTAACAGACCTTGTTAGAGAAGGCACAACCTTTGCTCACAGATGGTAGGGGTCACTGTAGTGCTGTGCACTCAGGAACTCTGCAGAGATCCATCCTGCAGTGCGCTAAGGAAAGTCTTTCATGGGGAGGTGACTTACAGGAGGCACTCTGCCCAGATGTTGCCTGAGGGGGCTGCTGGAGGGAGCTGTTGGCTGCTCTGTGCTGCTGGCCACCAACTGCTGCAGGCGCTGGGTGCTGTAGAAGCCATTCAGGCACCTGGAGCCAGGGAGTAAGGCCTCTTTCTCTACTATGTCTCTCTAGGAAAAATACTTAACAGGGACCAGCTTTATTTTGCCAAAGCAGGCAATGAAGAGTGGGTTTGGAGCTGAGAGACAATAAATAGATACCTGACATAACTGGCATGGGAGCATGTGAGAAATGGGCTTTCATTTGTGAAATTAGTGGTAGACAAAACCTGGAAAGCAGGTTTTCGAGCTATTCCCTCCCTCGCATGAACAAGGGTATGAGGATCCAATGAGGCCTTCGCTCTCAGTCACAGCACCTGAAGTTTGATCTCCAAGCAGTCTGTCAAGTATAATGCCAACTGCTGTTAAAAGGGAAATAAAGTTCTGTTTCTGGAATGTTCTGTCTGCTTTGAGAAAATCTTTTGTGCACAGGGCTGGTAAGTGCATCTAAAAGGACAGAGAGCTGAAACTTTCTTGAACTTACAGGTTTTACGAATTGTATGATTCCTGCTTCCGAATGAATGTTTTAAAGTAAAATGTCTGTTTGTGTCACAAGATTTGGCTTGAGACTTGCTTTTATTACAACCTAGTAATGAAGTTGTCCGGCTTAGCTAACCATGACCAAGGCAAAGTTTTTGGTGGCCACTGTCATCTACCCAAAACAACCTAAGAGCTGCGCGGGACTGTTTTGGGTTAGCTTATGCTGCTTGGGTCAGTTAGCAGCACAGGCACCCAAGCAGTCTCTCACCTCTGGGCCTCTGTACTTGCTTCAGCCCTTGTTTAAGAACACTCTTCCCAGGATATCTAATGGCTCATACTTTCATTTCTTCGTGCCTTGGCTCAGATGTTTCCTGTTAGTTGTGTCCTCTGAGAACTAAGAACTAAAACACCAACACAGAATTAAATGGGCAAGGATTTTATTAGGAAAAATGCCTATGTAACAGGAACTGGAGGTGGGCAGAGCCTGGGAAAGCTGGGACACAAAATAAGTCTGACCCTAGGGAACGGAGAGAGAGAGGAGGGAAGCTGGGTAAGAGTCCTATTGTGCCATATAGTCTAAGGAAGGCTTGGTAAGGCCCCTGGGGAGTCGTCAGCCAAAGCTGACCATCAGAGGAGTCCATGCCTCCCAGGAACAGGTCTGCCTGAGTGTGTATTCCTGCCTCGCTCAGCCACTGGGAGCAGTCCAAGGGAAGCACGACCTCAGTGTAAACAGAGGATAGAGTCTGTAGCTCAGCAGACTACTGATCTCATATCTTTGGCTAATTATGTTCCCTGTAGCTGGAGGCCTTCAAGGAGCAGTCTTACGGCTACCACATTTTATCAGTCAATTTCCCCTCATCACCCTCTATAAACAGTCCCACAGAATAGTAAAACATCAACCACATTTCTCCATCGAATAGTACAAACATGTTTCACAGACCGAATACAAGGCTCATTCCAGGACAACAAAGTAACTTCAACTGGTCTCCGGAGTATATTAAAACTGAATTAGTTCTAGGTATCAAGCAATAGAGAACCAGAAAAAAGGAAGCAAGGGAGGGAAGAAATAATTTGCCCTCCACATTTGGGACTAATATTTTGGAACGCCATCATGGATCATAATGGGCTGCAAGAGCTCCTCCAACCCATAACATCCAAGCACCTCATTTATGAAAGAAGAAAAAAAATCATTTTTTTACCTCCTTGTTTTGGAGCTGAGATCCAGAGAAGGGAGACAATTTCCCGACACTACATAAGCAAGCTAGTAGCAGAGTCAGGACTGGAAGCCGGGTCCCTACACTCTTGAGTCATCCATTCAGTCATGAGGGCATCTCTTGTTCGTGGCTGCATGCTAAACTATAGTACAAAATTGTTGAGGATTATCTGAATAAACTGAAGTTCCTGCCTTAATGGAACTTCAAAGAAGGTGCCGGTATTGGACCTCAGAAGATGAGGAGTTTGCCAGGCACCTGCAGGGAGAGGAGGCAGTGGGCAAAGCAGGGAGGCCTGAAAACAGCACTGGGCTTCAAAATTACAAGGAGAACCACCTGACTCGTGAAGTGCCAGGCTGAGGCGGGTGCGCTGAAGACGGCGGGCAATGGCCGCAGGCTTCGGGCAGTGAATGGCGGCAGTTACGAGCTACGCCAGTGTCACTGTGACCCGAGCACAGACTGAGTGGCTTGGCGGCTAAAGGGAGCAGGAACAGCTGCAACTAGGTAAGAAATGACGAGGGACAGTGAGTGGCAGAGGGAGTAAAACAGGGTAGGGGAGAGCACTACATTGGAGTTACAGAGTGGGCCACCCCTTCCCTTTTACCCTTGCTGATGGCTAAGAAGTGAAGGGTCTGGCAAAAAATGAAGGTGCCCGCCGGAGCAGACGCTCAGCAAACGGGCCTGGGGCTGGAAGGGAGATGAGTTCGGGCCGCCGGCCGGAGCTCGGACACCGTTGTGGTGAATTAGGTGGGCAGGGCCAGCTCCGCCCGCGCACTCAGGTTCCGACACCCGGCTCCGCCCAGCCCTCCAGCCGCCCGGAGCCCTCCGCCGCTCTCCGCACCTCCGTCTTCAGCCAGTAGTAGGCGCGGGCGCGAGCTCTTCCGCCGGGGCGCGGGGTCAAGGGTCACGCAAGATGGCGGCACCCAGGAGCCGCTAAGGCGTGAGGCAGACGATGGCACTGGCGGCACTGGCGGCGGGGGCTCGGCTGGGGCGCC